GGTGAAAGATGAGGCTTTCTGCTCCCGTAAAGATTTATAGCCTCAGAAACCCTGTACAGGGTTGCTATGAGTTGGAACCGACTCCATGGCACATAACAACAACAACTACAACGTAGTAAGCATGTTGTTGCTGTAAATGCCGTCAAGTCCATTCTGACTCACAGCCACCCTGTACAGGGTTTCCAAGGAGTGGCTATGGGTTTGAACCACCAACCTTGTAGTTATAGTCTAGTATTTATCCTACAGCACCACACCAGGACTCCATAATAAGCATGTTGTTATTGTTGTTAAGTGCTGTCGAGTCAGTTCCGATTCATAGTGACCCTGTAAAGGGTTTCCAAGGATTGGATGGTAGATTTGAACTGCCAACTTCACGGTTAGCAATCCAGTGCTTATCCCATAACATCCCATACACACAGGACTCCATAATAAGCATGTTGTTGTTAAGGGCCGTAGACTCAGTTCTGACTCATAGTGACCCTGTTCTGAGGAGTGGCTGGTGAGCTTGAACCGCCATTTTGCAGTTCAGCGCATTAACCAGCAGTGCCTAGACTCCCTTTAAAATAAATGTTATTTTGGTTTGCTTTAAGTAGAAAGAGAAATTTCTCATGCTGCATATGAGTAGCTGTGATGTTCCTTATTCTTTGTACCATCCTCTTTCCCCAAGCACAAGACACAAGAATGAATGAATGAATGAATGAATGAATGAATGAAGAGATCTCTGCTAAGCAACAGCTCCCAATGTGGGGTGACAGGTGGGAACCATTGTGAACCAAAATGGAATCAGCCAGTCCTGCTTGGATTGCAATGAGCTAGCATCGACTCAGTGACAATGGAGTCCGTTCCTGTATAGGGTTTGTGAGGCTGTAAATCTGTGTATTCTGGTCAGGTGTGAAGGCCACCTTTCTCTGCCCAGCTCTGCTGGGGTCCTCTCCGTGCCTCTTGACTCTTCTTCCCTTTCACTCCTCTGGGGAGTCTTGAGCTGTCTCCTGACCCTTCACTTCAAACAAGTAGGTCACATTTCCCAGTTTCCTCAACTGTAGGTTTTGACATACTCTGGAATCCTTTTTTCTCTAACAGCTACTTCAGTTCTTTTAACATGTATGTAACCTTGGTGTACTCTTTAAGTGTACTGAAGATACTTTCCCCCCATATTTTAGAGAAAAATACTTTAAAAAAAAAAAGTGTTTGAGCTTTTTCAAAGCTTTTTAAACAATTGTTGGTGTGCTCAGTGTTGCTGAGTCCACTCAGACTCACAGCAATCTTGTATAAGAGGCTTCTGAGGAGCAGCTGGTGGATCTGAACCTCATGGTTAGCAGTTCAGTGCTGATCCTACAGTGCCACAATACAGTTGAAATACTGTCTTTTGCTAAAAGCTAAATAAACAAACAAACATTAATTAATTAATGGCTTCTTTCTCAAACTTTTTAGTGATCTTAAATGCTTCTCTATTTGAGGCAGGTTCACTTGCTCAAATGGTGAAGAAACAGGATACATTTTGATGAAAAACTGAGGAAGTTCCAGGTTTGGGGATGTTAATGTCACTTGCACTTTATTATATTGTTGTTGTTGTTGAAGTGCTGTTGATTCAGTTCCAACCCATAGTGACCCTGTATAGGATTTCCTAGGAGCAGCTCGTGAGTTTGAACTGCGACCTTACAGTTCAAACCACCTTTGCAGTCCAGCGCCATTAACCCCCAGCACCACACCAGGACTTCATTATAATATTACTAGATATAAAAGAGTTGTCCCACTCCAAGGACTACTATGTTATTGTTGGTAAGTGCCATTAAGTTGGTTCCAACCTATAGCAACCCTGCCTAGGGTTTCCAAGGGGCAGCTGGTGAACTTGAACCGCCGATCTTGTGGTTCACCCTGACTTTGCAGTCCAGCGCATTAACCCACAGCACCACACCAGGACTCCAAGGACTACTACAGAAGTAAAAAAGTTCTTGGGGTTCCCAAGGAATCAGAACAACTTGAGATAAACAGGACATGCTTCTGAAAGTCCTAGACCTCCACCACTATAAATTCTCTAAAAATCCTAAATCCTCGTTTCCCTTTCTCCTCAGGGAAGCCGTCATTAGAGGACACCACACGGTGCCTCTGCCTCTTATATATCTAACATACATTAAAACTCTGTGCTTTGCCACACACGCACACACATACACAAAAGTGTTTGGCTTTTCTTATTCTTGACCCAAGCGTTCTCTTCTGGTTTTATGCTTATTGATCATGAAGCGTATGATGGTGGTAGTGGTGTGTTTGTGCCACTGAGTCAGTTCCAACTCATACCGACCCTGTACAGGGTTTCCAAGGCTATAAATGTTTACGAGAACAGAAAGTTTTCATCTTCTCCCACGGAGCAGCTGGTAGATTCAAATTGCTGACCTTGTGGTTTGCTGCCAGCTCATAATCCACGTTACCAGGGCTCCTTATGAAACATTGTGTGGCGCTGTGGGATAAACACTAAACTGCAGGTTGGTTTGAATGAAAAACTGATAATCTTGTCAGTAAACCTTATATATACATATGTTGTTGCTGTTGTTAAGTGCAGTTGAGTCGGTTCCTACTCATAGCAACACTGTATAGGGTTTCTGAGGAGCGGCAGGTGGGCTTGAACACCTAACCCTGTGGTTCACAGTCCAGCGCTGATCCTACAGTGCCACACTAGGAGTCCAACATGTATATATATGTGTGTGTGTGTGTGTGTGTGTGTATTCCCAACTGCCCTTCTTTATTCCCAGCTCACAGTGAGAAATGAGAGAGGGAAAGAGAAAACCCATATATTCCCATGGTGTTAAGGATTGAATTGTCTCCTGTGCCTTTTTGGTTGCAATCCCATTTAGAGGTAGGGTTTCTTTGGTATGCTAATGCAGCTGTATCAGAGTAGGGTGTGTATTAAGCCAATCTGTCTTCAAATGTAAAATAGCATACCAGACACAGAAGCAAGCAGTACAGATGAGGGAAGACAGATGTTATGTCACATGAAGATCACCAAGAGACCTAAGAACAGAAGCTGAAAAGGGAAAAAGACCTTCCCCGAAGCTCACAGAGAGAGAAGGCCTTCACCTAGAATCTTGAATTCGGACTTCAAGCATCCCAAACTATGAGAAAATAAATTTCTGTTTGTTAAAGACACCCACTTGTAGTATTTCGGTTTGGGCAGTGGAAGCTAAGACACATGCCTAACTGGAAGCTTTGGGAAAAAATATGGGCAAAGTAAAGGCTTGAGCCTCATCCTGCTGGCAGTAAAGGACTGAACAGCCTTTTGGGGGAAACACACTTACTTGTGTGGTGGGAGGTGGCAGCACTTTCTCAAAGTTCTCTCGGAAGGAGTGAAGCTGGTCACTGGTCTGTCCTAGCACATCTTCCACAAGCTTCCTGAAGTCAGGCTCAGAGACATGGTGGTGGGGCAGCTGGGTGGGAGACAGACAGACATTGTCAGCAAAGCCTTATTTGAAAGAAGGGACAGAGACCCCGGAAGCACACACCTGACCCCAGGTGTGCCAAAAATACCCTTTGTTGTCATGGGCACACAATATTTATGTCTGCCTACTGTCCCACTTCAAAAAGTGTCCGGTGACTCAAACAGATCTTCATAAATGAATCGGAGCATTATTCACAGCTGCCCAAAAGTGAGAACAATTTAAATATTCATCATCAGATGAATGGATAAATAAAATGTGGTGTATAAATATAATGAAATAACTTAGCCATAGTTTTCATACTAAAATAAACCTTCTTTGATGGTTACCAAGGGTGGGAGGGAAGGGAGACTAAGTCACTGGCTAGAGGGTAAATACACGTTAACTCAGTTGACAGGGAGGACAATATACATAAAGGGGGAGGTTGGCAGAAGAATGACAAAGAGAGGTGAAGACACAGGGAGGTATACAAGGGCTAAATGGGACAGAGGTTCTATATAGAACCTTGGAACAACAGTGTTCTGTGGGCAGATACACGGACAGACACACAGGTTGAATGGGTATGGTTTGAGTGGGAGTATACTCACAAATAGGTGAGTTTTAAAGAGGATGTTTGTACATGGCTATTTTCCTTTCCTGCAAACCCAACGATAAATGTGGTGGGGCATATAGCAGGCAAAATGATGACAACTTCCTAGATATTATCAAACATCTTAAAGTAATGAGTTACTGGACCTGGGGGCTCAGGACCATAGTCTCAGAGGACAGACATCATGGTCAACTGGTATGATACAGTCCACAGAGACATTGTTCTACATTCTACTTTGGTGAGCAGCGTCTTGGCTCTTGAATGCTCATGAGGGGCCATCTTAGATGCAACAATTGATCTCTATATGTGCAAAAGAAAGTAGAGTGATGAGAATTGAAGATACTTGGAATCAATTACTTCAGTGACCGTGACATGTGAATGAACATCAGTCTCCATGACTCTGAGACCAAAAGAACTAGTTAATGCCTGGTTACCACTCACTACCAACTTCTCTGAAAGGGATCACATTAGAAGGTCCTGAACAGACTGAAAGAAAATTTGGAATAAAACTCAAAATTATTGAAAAACAAAAGACTGGGCTTATGATCAGAAAGAGACCGAAGGAACCTGAAACTGACCCTCAACCACCCTTTACCTCTGGAAAGGAACTCAACCCTCATGGCCCAATTTTCGGCTATGCAGTGGTTATATAGGGGGACAACAACACTAATAAGGTGCGCTCACCATGGAATGGTCAATCATCCCAAATCAAAAGGGCAACATATACCTAAGGGCAAAGTTGAGAAGGGATGGGAAGGAGGGTGGAATGGAAATAGGAACCCCAGGGAGGAAGCGGGCTAGCTGTTGTTGATGAAGCAGAGTGTAGGATTTGTTGAAGATACAACTCATGGCCTGTTCAGTAAATCTTCACTCACTTCACAAGAAAAAGTTTCAAAAAGAAAAGAAAAGAAATATTACTCAGTTAGGAAGAGAAGTGAGGCCCTAGTACAGGCTATATATCAATGGATGAACCTGAAAATATGCTGGGTGAAATAAGTTAGACAGAAAAGAACAAATACTATACGATTATACTTGATAAAAATATCCAGAATAGGCAAGTATATAGAGATCAAAATTCATTCATAGGTACCATGGACAGAAAGGAGTTCTGGTAGCATAGGGGTTACGAGTCAGGTAGCTAACCTCAAGATGAGCAGTTCGAAACCACCAGCAGTTCCAGGGGAGAAAGATGAGGCTTTCTTCTCCCATAAAGATTTATAATCTCGGAAACCCTATGTAGCATTGCTATGAGTTGGAACCAACTCCATGGCACATAACTACCACCACTATGACCAAGGACAGGAGGGAGGGAGAAAGAAGAGCCATTGTTTAAGAATCAGGGAACAGCTGTTAATGGGGATGGAGAAGAGGTCATGATTACCCACCATGATAAAAGTAATTAATGTTCATGCAAAAATGACGAATTGGCAAGTTTTAGGTTGCACATAGATACTTTTAAATGTAAGTTTCCCTTTATAGGCATCTAAGGGGGTCCTCTTTGGGGGTACCCTGTAGGGGCTCTTGCTACAGGACTGGTAGTCATGGCATCCCTTCCTCCTGTCCTCAGAGGCTGGTCCAAGGACAGACAATGGATTTAGAATATGAAGGCTGAGACCAAAAGGATCCCTCTTCTTTTGGGTGATGAGTCTTAAAGGTAATATTACTAACCATCTCTCCCACCAAGCAAAACAAAACAAAAAATCCTGTCTGGAATATAGATTGGGACACAGAGCCCGGATGTGGAGTGAAAGTCCAAGCCTTGACAATACTGTGTACTGAGTGTAGCTGTACCTATAGAGCTTCATCTCCTCTGCGTCTCCCAGTCAATTAAGGCTGCTTTCGTTTGGGCTTGTTTCTGGTAACCCAAGGAGTCCTGACCAATGCTCTATCCTGAGACCCTGACTCTGTTAAGAATCTCCTGCAGTCTCGTCAGACAACCTAGAGAGATCACACAGCTAACAGCAATGTGTCCTCCACTAAATCAAAGGCTCTCGGTTGTGCCATCAAGCCTTTTTACCCCTAGGATGCAGACAGATTGGGTTTTACACCATGTAGGCCTTTCCCAGAATCCATAGGGACAGGCGCAGGTGACTAGGACTCAAAAGAGGCAGGCTGGCATCCATCCCCGACAGCTCCCAACATCCTATATTACAGGACCAAATGGGAAATGGCATCTGAATGTCCTCATTTTCTGCTTTTGTAAAGTTAACTTCCTTCTAGGACATCCCAGTCTAAATACAAGGGCTCTGGCAACTTTGACAGGAAACTATGCTCACTTAAATGGGGACTGAAAAGATGGTCTCTGCCTTCTGGAAAGATGCTGTTGTTATTAGTTTCACTGAGTCGATTCCAACTCATGATGACCTGTGTATGCAGAGTAGAAGTGCTTCTAAGGGTTTTCAAGGCTGTGTTCTTTCGGAAGTAGATCACCTCGGGGACGTGGGGGTGGGGCAGTAGGGGTGGTGACATTCGAACCACCAGTCTTTCAGTTAGTGTTGTTGTGAAGTGCTGTCGAGTCAGTTCTGACTCATAGTAACCCTGTAGAGTGCTTCTGAGGAGCAGATGGTGGGTTTGAATTGCCATTTTGTTTGAACCTTGAGGTTCAAACCAGCCTTGCAGTTCAATGCTTACCCTACAGTGCCACAGTGCTTAATTGTTTGTACCACCCAAGGATTCTTTGTTGTTGTTGTTGTTGTTGTTGTTAAGTACCATCAAGTTGGTTCTGACTCATAGTGACCCTGTAGAGGGTTTCTGAAGCTGTAAATCTTTGTGGGAACAGAAAACCTCATCTTTCTCGTACAGAGTAGTTGGTGGACTCAAACCACCAACCTTGTGGTTAGCAGCCCAGTGCTTATCTTACAGCTCCACACCAGAACTCCTAGGTAAAGATAAATGCTTTGGCAGGATGGTTCAGGCCTAATTCAATTCAAAGAGTGTCTGAGACAGAACCCTGTACTAAGCGCTGTTGAGAGCCAGGAAGAGGAAAAGCCACACTGCCAGTCCTCCTCAAGGAGAAAGCCCTTCGTCTGTCAGTGGGGCTGACAGCTGACTCTGGTAAGTGCTTAGCAGAAGGGCATAGGAAGGGCTGCTGTATCAAGATGAACTCATCCTTCAGGGAAAGCAGATTCTGAGAGCCTCACGGAGACCCAGGTATCAATTACATCTTTGGGGAGTTCATTCTATGTGGTATGGCGCTGAAAGATAAGCACTGGACTGTAAGCCACAAGCTCAGTGGTTCAAACGCAGCAGCTGCACCTCAGAAAATCTATGCAGGGTCGCTATGAGTCAGAACTGACTTGATGGCACCTAACAACAACACATATTATGTGCCAGACACTATGAAAGGCAAGGAGGATGCTGGAGAGGAATCTACAGGCAGAGGGAGAACCTGCATGAGGGGAACACAGATCTACTCAGACTGGTTGGGCTGCAGCCTGGAACAGAGCACTGGGGGGAATGGGAGAGTGGGAAATGTTAGAGGAATGCTCATGCAAAGAACTGGGTGGGGAAAGCTAAGGCAGTTAGGAGGCAGTATGTAGCTAGGAACTAGATGTAGGAGCCCTCTAGAGTACAGTATGAAGAGCATTTACATTGCTCCTGAGGTCAGAACTCTAGGTCATTCAGCTGATAGTGGCATCAGAGAGAAAGATCTAGAAACAGTCATGTAGTCTTTTCTAGCTTGGTGTCCCTCTTCAGAATTCCAGGATCAAAGTTTGTGCTTGGAGGCTTGTCTAAGACTCTTCGCAATTGACTGGTACTTTCAGTGGATAGCTCCCTATAAAGCCACGAGTATTGAGCACTGTGGTTCAGAGGTCTTGCTCTGGAGGTGAACTTCCAGGGCTCAGAACTTACTATTATCTGTGTGACCTTGGGCAAGCTACTTGACCACTTTGTGCCTCGGCTTCCTTATTGTTGAAATGAGGATAATGACAATAGTGCCTACTCTGCCAGGTTGTGGTAAGGATTAAATGAAATCCCGCAAGGAAGGTGCTCAAAACAGATACACAGGAAGCACTCATAAGGAAGTGGCTGCCAGCAGCTGTAACACCAGGTTGAGACTGTGTACAAGGGACCTTCTCTGTGACCAACTTACATACACTCCAGATATTCACCCAGGTCTGCCGTTGCCATACCTCTTCTGCTTCTGAGTCCCAGAGCCTGGAAATAGTAGGAACCCCAGTGCTATCCTTGCTTCATGGCCTGACTCCATCAACAAAGGTTGGGTTAGCATGAGGGAGAGCCAGAAGATCCCCGCTGCCTCCTTCTCAGTACGTGAGGGCCTGTTTGGAAAGCCCAATCTCCGCAAACAGCTGACTGAAGATACTGCAAGGCCCTGACCACTAGCCAGAAGCACCCCAGTCCAAGAGGCCTTACCTGGACTGAGCTGCCCTCTGCCTTCTGCAACACTTGCTTTGCAAGGTCCTGCTGCAGAGCCACGAATGTGTGCAGGATCTGGCCCAGCCACTGCATGGTCAGCTGGTGAAACTGGGGGAGTTCAGCCACTAGCATGGAGTTGAGAGCCTGGTACGTGTGTCGGGTTGCCTCCTCCTCATAGGTCACGCTGCCCACCTCCAACAGCTTCTCTTCTACCCTCTCAAAGTCCAGCAGTTTGTCCAGACGTTTCTTGATCAGGTTCTGCGGGCCAGCTAGGGTTTTGGCCAGGCTGCACAGCGGCCGCCATACCAGACCTTCCAGCCGCTGTTTCTGTGGGGAGAGTTGAGCTTAGAAGCCTTGAAAGGAGGAGGCAAACAGTGGGAGCAAGAGAAAGGGCTGTGGAGGCAGGCAGGCCTAGGTTCCAGTTCCAGCCCACCAACTAGCTGTTATTTAACCCCTCTGTACCTCAGTATTCCCATCTGAAAAGTGGAAACATGTATGAGAAATCAGCTTAGCAAAGTGCCTGGCAAAGAGTAAGCAATCAATGTGTGCTCATTGTTAGGATCATTATTCTGCAGGATAGAGAATGGTGGTCAAGAGCATGGTTTAGGGGGCTCAGATCTCAACTTGCCATTGATGATCTGTATGAGTTGGGAGGTCACCCTTTCTGAGCCTCATCTAAGGAATGGAGCTGTTAATAGTTTCTACCCCATAAACCATGTTGGGAGGATTAAAGAGTTTAAGACTACAAAGAGCTTAATATGTATATGAAGGGCTGGCAGATAGTGAGACTCAGTAAAGGTTATAACCAGTCAGTTTTGACTCATGGCAACTTTATGTGTATCAACATAGAACTGTGCTCCTCAGGGTTTTCAATGGCTGAACCCAAAAAGTTGGGGAAAACCCCCAAAAGTTTTTTTTTTTTTTTTTTTTTCACTTTTTCTTGTGACTTGAGTAAAGGCTTACAGAGCAAATCATCAGTTTTACATTCAACAAATCCTACACTTTGTTTCATCTCAATGATTGCAATCCCCTCCATGTAATATCATCTATTCTACTTCCTCCTTCTTTCCAAACCTTTCTGAACTTTGTCCTTGGATAAATGATGCCCTTTTGCTCTCGAACGGTTAACCACTCCTTGGTGTATGTACCTCACTAGTGTTGTTCCCTCTATATACTTATCTACAGCTTCAATGAAAATTAAGGCACGGTGATGAACATAGTTTTAGACTTGAAGGGTGACCAAGAGACTGGGTTCACCAGTCTCTGACCAGTAAGACTGGTCTTTTTAATGATTTTGAGTTTTGTTCAACATTTTCTCCCACTCTATCTAGGATTTTCTAATGTGATACCTTTAGGAGCAGTTGGTAGTTGTAACCAGGTACTATCTAGTTCTTCCACCTCAGTGTCATCAAGATGGTGTTCACATGGACTGTTTTCAAGCATCTTCAATTTTTTATCATTCCTCTTTCCTCTGGACAGGGAGAGGCCAGAGTTGCATGCCAGATGGCCGCCCATGAGTTTTAAGATCCCACTGATTACTCACCACAAAAGATAGAGTAACTCTGTGGAGTATGTTTTGCCAATTGACTGTGGTGTCCCCATTAGTGGCTGATTTTTCATAAGTACCTTCTTCTAAGGTACTTCTGGGTGAACTCAATCCTCTAATCTTTTGGTAAGCAGTCAAACTCATGAACCACTGGCACCACCTTAGCCCTCCTAATAACCACTATTGTTGTTAAGTGCCATCAAGTCAGTTTCAGCTCTTAGTGACCCTGAATAGAGTTTTTGAGGAGCAGCTGGTGGGTTTGAATACCCAACCCTGTGAACCACAAGGTTCAGCAACCCAGTGCTTATTCTACAACGCTACACCAGGATTAGCTGGTATAATTTTGATCAGCAAAACATAATAGTAATAATCTCTGCTTTGCCAAACACCCAGACTGGTTATGGATGAGACAATCACGTAAGGTGTGTGGCTTCTTATTATTATCATGATAGTCTCTGCCACCTACCTAACAAAGAAAGGGGAATAGATGTCCCACTTACAAACTCCAGGAAAACCTCGAGCTGAAGCTCTCTCGCCAAATAGCAGTACTGTGCCACAGGCCCCTCAGGGATGTCCAGATCACATTCATGAGGCCTGAAGCGGAGGAAGGCCTGGTTTCGGACAAAGGAGAGACATCCAGTCACAGCCTGTCATTTTTTTCCAGAGTCGTCCCACACCAGAGCCTCCAAGAGGTTGTCCAGTCTCTGTACACCTGCAGGGACACAGCCAGCCAGTCCTACCCTTGTACAGTCTGGACGACTGGAAGGCACTTCCACAGAGTGAGCCAAGGTATTTATCCCTATTTCAGTGTTTCCCGAACCTCACACATTGGCCTGCCACCTTTGTGGGGTTTGACATGTTCATATCCCATGTGTTCTATTAATATTTCTCTTAAAATCAACTAACTATTCCTATTTACACTTTTTAAAACTTTATATATGTATATATGTAAGGACAGACAGATGTGTGTTGTGTAATGCTGCTGTTGTGTGCCAGTGAGTCAATTCTGACTCCTAGGGATCCTATATGGCAGAATAGAGCTGCCTCCTAGGGCTGTAATCTTTAAGGCAGGAGATTGCCAGGTCTTTCCTCCTTTGGAGCTGCGGAATGGGTTCAAACCACTGACCGTTCTCTCTCTCTCTCTCTGTCTATCCCTCTCTCTCCCACCCCTTCCTCTCTCTACTGATGCATATTGTTGTTGTTGTTAAGTGCCGTCGAGTCGGTTTCAACCCACAGCGACCCTAAACAGGGTTTCCGAGGCTGTAAATCTTTACGGGAGCAGATCGCCTCATCTTTCTCCCACGGAGCAGCTGGTAGTTTCGAACTGCGGACCTTGTGGTTCGCAGCCCGATTTGTAACCACTGATGCATATTACTCAGCTATAAAAAGGAATGATGTTCTATTATATTAAAATGAATAAACTTTGCAAATATTGGGCTAACTGAAAGATGCTAGGCAAAAATGGCAAAAATTGTATGATCTCACTTATATGAAGTATCTAGAATAGGCAAGTACATAGGGGCAAAAGTTTATGAGTAGTTACCATAGGTTTCTGGCAGCGTAGTTGGTTATGTGTTGGGCTACTAATCTTAAGGTCAGCAGTTTGAATCTACCAGCCACTCCATGGGAGAAACATGAGGCGTTCTGCTCCCATACAGATTTACAGCCTCAGAAACCCTATACAGGGTCACTGTGAGCTAGAACTGACCCAGCAGCTCCCCACCACCACCACCATGGGCTGCAGTGTGGATTTACTGGTTAATGAGCACAGAGTGTTGTTTGGGGTGATGAAAAAGTTTTAGAACCCAATAGTGGTGATGGATCCAAAACACTGTGACTATAATTAGTGCTACTGAATACTACACTTAAATGGAAAATATCATGCTGTATATATGAGGGGGAGTCAAAAATGATGCATACTCCGGTTATATTAAAAAGCCTGTCCATGTCCAGGACTGATGACAACACAGAGCCTGCATCTGAAATGCTTCTGTCAAATAGATGAGTGACAGTGGATTATGTGGCAAATCATTTTCAAATTAGCCGTGGCTCTGCCTATGAAATAATCCAAGACAGACTTGGCTCTCAAAAAGTTTGTGTGAAATTGATATGGAAACAACAACCAGGAGAGCATAAAGAGAAGCGTTTGGACATCTGCAAACAAAATTTGAAGATACTTGAAGGAAGGTAAAAGTTTCTTTAAAAAATCGTTACTGGAGACAAGACATGGATTCATCACTATGAGCCTGAGAGTAAATGGCAGAGTATGGGTTGGAAACATCCTTAGTTGCCAGTCAAGAAAGAGTTCAAAACTCAACTATCAACTGGAAAATTGATGCTTATGGTTTTCTAGGATTCTCAAGGACGAGTATTGGAACACTGCCAGGAAAAAGGTTCAACGATCACAGTGCTCATTACAGTGAGATGCTCACTGAAGAGCTGAAGCCTAAACTTCAGATTAAATGCTAAGGACTACTATCCAAGGGTGTTGTGATCTTGCTTGACAATGTACATCCACACACCTCTGCCCACACTGTTGACAAGCTGCAAAAACTTTCGAGGTGTTAACGCATCCCACCCCTCTCCCCATAGTCCTGATCTTGCTCCATTGGACTTTCACCTGTTGGATCCCCTGGAAGCAGCCCTTGGAGAACAAAGAAGTGAAGACAGCTATGCTTTCGTGGGTTGTAGCTCAGCCTAAAACATTTCTAAATAAGGAAATACTACAGCTTGTTGACAGATGGACAAAGTGTCTTGAAAAGCAAGGAGATTATGTTTAAAAATGATGTATTTGTATTTTCTAAAAGTTGATTAAAATAAATTCTATAGCCAGAGTGTGGAAAATTTTTAATTCATCCTCATATTTTACCACAATAAAAAATAAAAGGAAATAACACCTAAAAGTTCTAATTCGAGGAGAGAAAAAAAACAACAACACCTTTATGATAGCACCACCAAACAAACAAAAAACAAATTCACCATCATTGAGTCAAATACAACTCATAGCAACTTTCTACAGAGTTTCTGAAGCTGGTGGGTTTGAACTGATGACCTTGCAGTTAGTTTATTGCTTATTGCACAGTGCCACCAGGGCTCTTTATGATGATACCACAAAGGGAATCAAACCCCAAACCAAATCCACTGCCATCTAGTCAATTCTGACTCTCATCACCCTGTATAGGGTTTCTGAGACTGCAAAACTTTATGGGAGCAGTAATCTTCCAGAGAGCCGCTGGGGGATTTCAATCTCAACCTGTGGTTAACAACCTAACACCTAACCCACAGTGCCATCAGTACTCCTTCTACAAAGGGAAAGCCAATGATGATTGCCATAAATAGATGTATGAAAAATAATTGCCATCAAAACAAAACAGTATTATTGAATCCTGCCAAAGACTCCCAGGCTCAGGCAAGACATAGCACGAGGAGGATTAAAAGAAGGATCAGTTTCTCACTACGTGACTCCACACTGTTTAGCAGTTTATTTCTGAGTAGTCATGGGAGTCTTACTCTGGGAAACACAGCACTAATGTTTCCAAATATCCACCCTACCCTGCAAAGCCAGACTTCTCATCAAAGTCCAATACCTGCAGGCCCTGCCATGCTTTTTCCTGAATGGCTCAGAGCACTTTCTCCTCCTGCTCACTTCACCAGAACAGGAGCCCGGCTGTCCAGATCTGGTTTCTACAGGTCCAGGAAGGAGCATGATGGAGCAGAGGGATGTGACCTCCCCGGAGGAAGACTGCATGACGACCTCCCTCCTTCTACACACTTCCATGAATGCTACACAAGATCCCAGTTCCCAAAGATGCTGTTGTCTCTGAATGAGCTGTTTTGTGCAATTGGACTCAGCTGAGAAGGGACCACATATGGGGGCAGGGTGTGTGCAGTGAGTCAGCAGTAACCACTGTACTGAAGGGGAGATTTTGGTGCAAGTAATGTGATATGCCAGATGGAGATGCAAGTTGGTGGCCCTGTGGGCTGCCTTTAGTTTGTAAAGAAATATTTTCTAGGGCCTGCATGACATTTTATTTTAATTCATTGCTCACATTTACAAAAAAACAAATCACCTGGATGTCCAGTTTTCTGTGTTTTTACCTCCTTAAACTTAGATGAACAGCCACACCAGGCCCACATTCCCAAAGAGTAACAACCGGCCAGCATGATGTAGTGGATATCCCTTTAGATTAATTTGTTCATTCATTCAGGTTTCAAATATTATTATCAAATACACTTGTCTCAATGGTATCATCTGTCTGGTCCTTTCAAGTACCCAAGTCTGTGACCAGGGTCCCTCAGGAGGGCTCTGACCACAGTGAATTTCGACACTATCCGGTTGGAACCTCGTTCCCTGAGAGCTCAGTGGTCTTATGTCCTATAAGCCACGGGAATAGTACTAGCAGATGACCTCATCTGAATGGATGATGTCATCCATTTGGTTCCTGTAGCTGGTGCCTTTGCCAGTTTGATGGTATGACATGTCTCCTGCCCGGGGAGCCAGACCCCTAGGCCCCATCCATCATTAAGTGCAGATCCTCACCTCCAGGTTATCCAAGTAAACAGCCACGTTGCTCTTCAGCTCAGTCACACACAATGACACCCAGTGGAATCTCTCTTCCAAGTCATCAAATTCCTTGTCTTCCGTCTGAAAGTGGTCAGTTACACATGTGAAGGCAGATAAGAGCCACAAGGGAGCAGTGTATACCTGGTGTCTGCATTTCAAGTCCTCACTGGAGATCACCTTTCCATGAATCTGTCTGATCCTCCAGTCTCAAAGTTGAGTGAGATGATTAACTTAGTAGTTTTGGATTCAGACAAAACTGGTTCATTCATCTGCTTCCTAATTGTGTGACCTTGGGTAAGTGTTTTACTTTCTCTAAGCCTCTTGTTTTCTCATCTGCAAGATGAGGTTAATAAAAACACCTGCTTCATTGTGAGCTCAAATAATGCCTGGCTCAGAGTAAGTACTCAACCAACTTGACCTACTATGGCAGATATTGGAGGACAGTTCTTTGCCTAGACCCAGAGACCAGTTCTTCTACTCTATAAAGTGGTCCCAGAAAAAGATTAGCACAAGACACAGTGGTATAGCCTTAACCTAGTTCTTCTGAAGCAAGTTGGAGTCCCAACACTGACTCTACATGGTTGTGCCAAGTTGGGGAGTCACCTCACTCCCTTAGCCACAGTTTCTACATTTCCAAAAGGAATTTATCCCCCTTGCCCTCCCCACTGCACAGGGTTCCAAGCCTTAAACTCACTCTGGGTACTAGCCCCGCCTCCTGTTTCAGCAACTGGCTCAGCCGGGTGGTCTTCTTGGTGAGTGTGTGTGTGTTGATGCGGGCTAGCCGCTCCCGGAGGGTCAGCTGCTCCACTCTTGTGTACTTGGATGCTGTACAACAAAGAAGCACGAGAGCACAGTGACCAAAGCCTACCACAGACAGTGAACATTCCAGACATAGCTGCTGAGCATCTGACCCACCCCCCTGCTCTATCAGAAGCACATCCAATTAGAAGAGGGGTTTGTACAGAAAAATTCAGAGTCCTCAGATTGAGTTTGAGTCCTGGATGAAGCGCCTCTTACCTGCTTCAGTTTGGCAAGCCACCACGTGCTGGGGGCTTAGATTCCTCATCTGTAAAATGAGGCCAGCCACCTCACAAGGTTGCTGAGAGGATGGCATAAGATAAGGAGTCTGAATGTACTACCTAAAAGACAGGCACCCAGGTGAAAGGTGAGTTGCTAGTGTTAGCCCGGCCAGGCTGGGAACTTCACGTCTCAGCTCCTAGCTCATGCTTTCTACTGATCTGTCCACCTAGGTGGAGAAGCAAGTGGGAAAATCCAAAGCTAGCAGATGTAGTCTGGTGTGGTGATGAAGACCCCAGGCCTGAGCTGGAAACCTGGTTGTCACTTAGCAGCTCCGTGTCACGGAGCAAACCACTTAAGCGCTTATTTTACCTGACTCTGAAATGGGGCGACAGTGCCAATCTCAGAGGGCTGTTGACAAGGACCAAACAAACTAATAAATTATCATTGTTATAGTGTCTCAGTTGCGCAGATGAGTTTCTCTATACTTGGGACTGCTTCATTGTTCAAGTCTTTAACAACTTCAGAGGCAGGGTGTCTCCCCTCCCCAGCATTCATTTCATTTCTCCTCCATAGTACAACACCCTTATGGTTTGGATGAGTTGGATCTCAACTAGGTGTTGACTGATATAAGCCAATCCATACAATATCATCCCATTGGCCACAGTGACCGACTCAAAAGAAGGTACATAATCCAGACCTAAGCCAATCAACACCTGCATGACATTTTCCTAACCATGGTGATTGGTGAGGGTGGACACATGACTCAAGCATAGTCTTATCAGAGTGAAACTCAGATTTAATTTTGATGACTAAGAGGTGGTATAGTAAACAGATGTGTCTTGGAACAGAAATAGTCACTTACTATGATGAAGGATATCATGTTTGGTAGGGCAGATGGTCAGAGAAAAAAAGGAAGACCCCCAGCGAGATGGACTGACAAAGTGGCAGCATTAGTGGCCTCAAGTGTGACAATGATAGTGAGGTTGGCCCAGGATTGGACAGTGTTTCATTCTGCTGTGCATAAGGTCGCTATGAGTCAGTACTGACTCGATGGCACCTAACAACAACAACAAGATGAGGGAAGTCAGCCTGATCATGAAACTGACACACAGAAAAGATCAGAGCCAAGAGGATTATAGGGAAACAGAGGCAGCACCCTGATCAAGCCCTACCTAAGGCCCACATTACCTGTGAACTTGTGGTTATAGAAGTCACTACTTTCCCTTTATTGGTAAAGATAGTTTGAGATGAGTTGTCTGTAGCTGGAAGTAGTACCATCATCCCTGAATGTCTACATCCTTACCCACTTCTTTGCGCATCTTGTATTCATTGATGTTGGCGTTCACATCCTGGAGGGCAGAGGTAGCCCTCTGAAGGATAGGGTAGGCACAGGCATCGGGGGGTGTGTTCTCCAGGATTTTCTGCAGCAGCAATGGGTATCTGGTAACCCTCTGCAGAGGGATTACCAATAAGAAACTGAGGCCTGAGGGTCCAGCTTGTGGCCTGAGGAAGAAGGCTGATATTAGGTAAGTAAAGCCCAACTTTGAGGCACAGAGTTGGGGTTCCATTCTCAGTACTGCCACTTAGCTCACTGTGTGATCTCATACAAGTCATCCACCCTCTGTGGTCCTCAGTTTCTTCATTCTGAAGACCTAAATGTTAGATGGCTACCTAGGTAGCATAAACTGTAAAGCGCTCAGCTACTAACTGAAAGGTTGAAGGTTTGAGTCCACCAAGCTGTGGCTTTTTTTGTTATGCCCAGAATTCAGGGTCCCCAAAGACCACCCAGGAGCCATGTACCGATGCAAATACATAAGGGTTGTTTAATCAAGCTCGAGCCAGGTCTCTAACCTTATCCGACATTTCGGAATAGGGAAAGAACCCCGAATTCATTGTCTGCAGGGTTTTTATAGAATTTTCAAACAGCTCAGGTTTCTCAGCTTTACAATCTTTGGATTGGTTAACAATTGGAAAACTATGAGATGTTACAGTTTAATTGGTCAGGACTGGTGGTCTTTGTTCTTAGGCTAGGGTAAAGGAAAACATCTGGCCTCTGGCCTTGAGCTGCCTGGCTATTTATACATATATCATTTTCTTGGAGCTAGAGTACGTGTTCAGGCTAATGTACAGAATGGAGATTGACCTTGACTCTGGAGGGAACTAATAACTGAGGCCTTGTCTATTTAAAATGCTTTCCTGAGCCTGACTAGAGTTTAGTCAAGCAGTTTCTAGGTAGGCAAAATCAGGTAAAATCAGTTTGGTCCTTACACTTTTTCTTGAAAGGACATGGCCAATGAAACTTCTATGGAGTGAAGCTCTACTCAGACACACATGGAATCAGAGTACATTGGAATAAACTCAATAACACAAGACTTGATTGTCTGTTTAGAGGTTGGACGGGAGGACATGGTGGTTTGGTGGTAGCATTCTCATTTTTCATGCAGAAGATTCAGGTTTGAATCCTGGTTAACACATCTTGAAAGCAGCTGCCACCCGTCTGCTAGTGGAAGTGGTGCTGCTAACGCTGAACAGGTTTCAGCGCAGCTTCCAGACTATGACGGACTAGGCAGAAAACCTAGGCAATCTACATCTGGAAATCAATCAGTGGAAGCCTATCCATGAGGTCACCATGAGTCGGGGGCTGGCCCACTGGGCACTGCCAGTTCTCACTTTACCTTCTTTCTGGGCCTTGGTTCCCTATCTGTACCAAATGCAATGGTGGCTTCTCTGCTTTCATCAACACCTCAACAGCAGACATAGCTAACCTCTCCTGTCTTGAAACACTCTCCTTTTGGTCCCTTAGAAGCCCTCTGTCCCACTTCCCTAGACCCACAGGCTGCTCTCTCTGCTGACTTCTCTTAGAGGCAAGGTGCCTGGGGCCACCCCTCTCTCTCCATTCTCTCTCTCTGGTGACTTCCTTCAGTGCCAGGCTTTAGACACAACCTAAACCCAGACTCCACCTTCAGCTTCCACTCACAGCTCTAGACACATATTTAACTGTGTACCTTGCATCTGCTTGGCTATATCCCCTACACAATGCTACATATTGGGCATCCACTCCACATTTCATTTCAAGAAGTGACTCGGAAGCTTTAAAGAAAAAAAGTTTAAAACATATCATAGGAATTTAATTTTTAGATATGCATTCAAAATCGTTAGGGATAATATGTCATAATATTGGTGGTGGTGGTTGTTAAGTGCCGTTTTATCAATTCTGAGGAGTGGCTGGTGAGTTTGAATCACTGACCTCACAGTTCAAACCAACCTGTGGTTCAAAACTTACCCTGCAGTGCTACACCAGGGCTAGTTTAGCATAAAAATGGATGAATAAAACATAGCAAGAAGACAATACTTGTTCATTTCGGTGAGTATTCATTACATTATTCTTATTCTATGGAGTCCTTGTGTGGTGCTGTAGAATAAAGCACTGGACCACAAGGTCAGTTTGAACTCAGCGGCACATAACAACAACAACATTCTATTTCTCTATAGGTTTAATATACCTTCTCTAGGAAGATTCAACAACACTGTTTTCTGACCTCTCTCCTTTGACCTCTTATTCTTCTTCCTATTAAAAGTCTCCAGACCAAATGTCCAGGAAAGATCATGTGGTCAAAAATAGACAAGGTAGGTGGAGCTCCCTCAGAGCTGCAAAGGGTTGGGAGGAAGGGTGGCAATCAGTGAGATTACCTGGAAGGACATGCCTGTGCTGACCCTCAGCTCTCACCACACATTTTCTGGAGCTTGGCTAACACATGAGCTAACAACAATTGATAAGTAGCTACAAAACTTGACACCCTGGGTTTAGCACTTAGCTTCCATGAAAAAGAGCCAAATGCCTCCTAAACTTTCAGTTATGAGGATCATGACAAAATACAGATAGCACTGTGAAGAATGGATATTCTGGACATTTAATTGTGTTCATGAGGAACTTGTACACAGACCAACAGGCAGTTGTTGGATGAGAACAAGGAGATACTGAATGGTTTAAAATCAGAAGTGTGTGCAAGAGTTGTATTCTTTCACCGTACTTATTCAGTCTGTATGCTGAACAAATAATCTAAGAAGCTGGATTATATGAAGAAGAATATGGAATCAGGATTGGAGGAAGACTCATTAACAACCTGCAATAATCAAATGGATATAACCTTGCTTGCTGTAAGTGAAGAGGACTTAAAATACTTACTGATGAAGATCAAAGAATACAGCCTTCAATATGGGTTGTGCCTCAGTGTAAAGAAAAATTAAAATCCTCAAAACTGGACCAGTAAATAACATCCTGACAAATGAGTAAAGGATTGAAGCTGTTTAAGACAATCAACACGCATGGAAGAAGCAATCAGGAAATCAAACCAAGTATTGTATTATGCAAATCTGCGACACAAGACTTCTTTAAAGTGTTCAAGAACAAAGATGTCAGTTTCAGGACTAAGGTGTGCCTGACCCAAGCCATGGTATTTTCAATAACCAAATGCATGTGAAAGTTGGACACTGAATAAGGAAGATAGTAGAAGAACTGATGCTTTTGAGTGGTGTTGTGGTGTTGGAGAAGAATACTGAAGGTACCCTGGACTGCCAGAAGAACAAACAGGTCTGTATTGGAAGAAGTATAGCTGGTGTGCTCTTTCAAAGCCAACATGGCAATACTTGTCTCTAGTAATTTGGACATGTTATCATCAGGAGGGACCAGTCCCTGGAGAAGGACATCATGCTTGATAAAGTTGAGGGTCTGCAAAAAAGTGGAAGACCCCAACCAGATGGACTGGCACAATGGCAGCAGCAATGGGCTCAAGCATAACAACAATTGTGAGGCTAGCACAGGACCAGTGTTTTGTTGGTCAGAACCAACTTGATGGCACTTCACAACAGCCTCCTGGGTACAACTCTCAATTCCCCAAACAGAGGGAAACGTTCTCAAGGAGATGACCCATCCCTTCTCTACAGTCACCCAGGAGCCACGACAGACTGCAGGCAGCCTCTGACATGGATAGGTTTGAGTCATTTGGACAAAATATTTTATTCAGTGTTTCAAGTAACCAATAAAAACTGAAAATTTCCCAACAAAAGTCACCAGAGCTGGGAGACTATGGGAAACTGATGCTCTTGATAGAAGATCTTTTTGGGGAGCCTTTTGGCAATCTGTTAAGTGTACAAACTCTTTGTTCCACCAATCCTACTCCAAAAGTTAGCTACAGAAATACCAAATTACAAGCTCAACTGAGCAAGGATCAGAAGTTATCCAGCAGTTGTTTATGACAGTAAAAATTAAGCTGTGAAAAACCATGGAAGAGCCTAAAACACTTACCAGTACTTGAAACAACTCAGTTTGAAAGGTTGTGTATCATATGATTCCCAACCCAATGCCAATGAGTTAGTTCCAATTCACAAGGACCCGGTATAGTGTGCTAGAAGCTATAAATCTCTATGGAGGGGGTGGTATACACTAGAAAGGGAAGGAGAAAGGAAGAACAAGGCGGATGGGAGAACAGTTAGGCAGCTATGTTGTTTGTTGTGAGTGCTGTCAAGTAGGTTCTGATTCATAGCGACCCTGTATAGGGTTTTTGAGGAGCAGCTGGTGAGCTTGAACCGCCAACCTTGCGGTTCATATGGCTTTGCAGTCTGGAGCATTAACCCACAGCACAACACCAGGCAGGTATACATGGGCTAAATAGGACAGAGGTAAATAATGATGTAAGTACAACCTTGGAACAACAAGGCTCTGGGATACAAGGATTGAGGCATGGTTTCAATGAGTAGAAGTGGGTTAATAATGTTAAGATGCTTGGCTGTCTTTTGAATCATGGTTTCTCTTGCATACCATTGTAAAGGAGACACTTGAGGGGGAGAGAAAGGAATAGTCAGACACATCACCATAGAAAGCTTGTAAGTCCATCTTCAGCTTATAACTGATTGGAATACCTAAACTGGGGCTAGAACTTGCCCAGTGAAGGAGGCTTCCTGCAGAGCCTTTGCATTGCACAAGACCATAGGTGGAATCCTAATCACCATCCAGAATCTTCTGAGGTGGGACATTTCCACTTGAAAGGTCAAGCAGACCAGCCTGGAGCAGCTAGAACAGAAGATAGTTCTTGAATGAAAGACCAGCAGGAAAAATCAAAAACAGTAACAGAAATCTGATTGACAACTACAAGAACAAGCAAGGTGTTCCCCCAGGAGCCATCAAGGCAAGTGGTCAGGGCCCCTCAAGGCAAACTCCCTTCCAAAACTAAAACTTAAGGAGAACACATGTGGTCTTGTTGCTGACCACGTTGGTAACCGATAAGGGGAAGTGAGGGGAAAATCAGCAATGAATTTGTGAGCTAAGTCTGACCTCATTCAATAGACTCCTGTTAACCTGGGTTGAGACCTGGTTGTCCAGCAGTATGATGAGACCTGGGGACTCCTGGGCCCAGGGACAGGGACATGGCCCCAGAGGACTAGAACAGAGGGAGTGTGAAGCGTATAGCTGATATGCAGTGAGGGGAGATGCACAAGAACACCCA